GCAACGACGTGTTTCCACCGATACACGAGTCGTCACAACATTCTAGATTATCCCAAACTTCCTGCAACGACGTGTTTCCACCGATACACGAGTCGTCACAACATTCTAGATTATCCCAAACTTCCTGCAACGACGTGTTTCCACNGCAACGACGTGTTTCCACCGATACACGAGTCGTCACAACATTCTAGATTATCCCAAACTTCCTGCAACGACGTGTTTCCACTGATACATGAGTCATCACAACATTCTAGATCTTCCCAAGCTTCCTGCAACAGCATGTTKCCGCCGATGCACGAGTCATCACAACATTCTAGATCTTCCCAAACTTCATGCAACAGCACGTTTCCACCGATACACGAGTCGTCACAACATTCTAGAGCGACCAAAACTACCTGCAACAYCACAAACTTTTACAATGCTAAACAGAAGAAAGAAGAGCAACAGAATCACCAATTTCAATACCCACCAAAAAACCAAAGCAAGGGAAACACCAGGATTGGCATGGATGGTTCAATTGACATGCTTTCTTTGTATAATTATGATGCYTCTTCTGGAAACATCCCACTGAAACAACCACCAACATATTCGAAGTCTACCAAAACCACAACAAACTTGTACAATGCAAAGCTSAAGGAAGAAGAGAAGCAGAGGCACCAATTTCAATACCCACCGAAAGTCCAAAGCAGGGGTAACGTCAGGATTGATGTGGACGGTCCTATTGACATGTCTTCTTTGTATGATTATGATGATTACGATTCTTTTAACAACAAAAAAAACGACGCTTATGCTATGAAAAAACAAAGCACCACCAACAAARTGGATGTTGATGGAGAAAAGAAGGCCGGCGTCCCATGGTCTAACAATGCTACTACTCATCGAATGAGATCCAGAATGAATCATCGAMGGCGATTGCGTCGTGGCTATGATAGCGATGAGGATAGTGACGACGACGACGACGACGATTACGATGACAGTGATGATGATGACAGCGATGATGGTGGGGGCGACTACTATAGCCGCACTCGTCGAAGGTCAACGTCGAGTACAAGGAGCGGGAATTATAACGCTGTCGGAGCCGTTGCAGTKTACTCCAGTGGTGTACTGGTGTCACAAAGCCCGGCCGTCTTGACACAGCATACTAAATCAGAACAGCAACGTCACGAAGAGGAATCCCTACAAAGCAGTGGCCCGACAATCAACGCAGATAGTTTTCTTGCAGATAGAAGAATCAGTGGGTCGGAAAGTTTGAGTACATTCTATACTAGAGAGTCCTCCCGCAACATTACAAATAGCAGCAGCAGCATGCAATTCCAGCAGCAGCAACATGGGAGTTCGTTAATAGATGCTGCAGTRGAACACACAGTGTCAGGTTCCATTGCAGATCTCACCCATGGATCCACTCTACCAGAGGACGAAGCCAGCAGTATTCTTGTCAACGATAACTCTGGTGAGAACGCTGATGGCGAACACCAAAAAGCTAAGAAACTTCCATGGTATAGGTGCCCTGTATTCTACTGGAGTATTGTAGGCACAACTGTCTTGCTGACGACCATRTTGGTGCTTTTGTTTGTCTTTCGCGACAAGAAAGAAAAGCCGGTGCCGATCGCSGAAATTCCGATTTTGTTTCCTTCCGCTACACCGTCCCCTTCCACTACACCAACGGCATCCCCTTCCACCACCCCAACAGCTTTCCCTACCATAGTGCCACCCAATCCCATCAAGGCCAAAGCATTCGAACAGTACATCATCGCGGCAGATATTACGAGCCCAGAGACCTGGAAAAATCAGTCCTCTCCTCAACACGATGCGTATCTTTGGTTGATGAGAGATGACGGGGTTGTTCAATATTCTCAGACCATGACGAACSAAAACATCGAACTGATGAGGATTAGATATATTCTAGCGGTTTTTTACTACGCGCTAAATGGGGATGAATGGAATGTCAACACCGGATGGCTAAGCGATAAAACCCATTGTGGTACAGGTTGGAAATTTGTCAGTTGCTTGAAAGTCGGGGATGGAGCTGACGAGACAGGGAATTTCGTAAAACCTGTGGTTGGCCTCAGGATTGAAAACAACAACCTTAACGGATCACTGCCAAGTGAGCTGGCGCATCTTTCCGAACTCCGTACGTATAAACCCTTGTGTTTGATATCAGTATTGCTGTTGTTATAGCCTTTCTGCAAGTCTTAAGCGTGGATTGTGTGGTGAACATTTTAGGCAAGAATTTCTCACGAATTTGTTATCGGTCTTTTTCACAGAGTATTTGTTGCTCTCAGATAACAGAATTCAAAGTGTAGAAGGGATCGGAACCGCTATTGATTCGTTGAGTGAGTTSGTTATAGTCATTCTAATTTGTGTGTATGCCAAGTATTTGCCTTGGCTTTGGCCACTGACTTGACCTCTTGTTCATTGCTTKTCTTATTGCTTCCCCTCTGCATCTATTTCCAAATTTCGACGTACAGAGTATCTTCGTCTCGCCGAGAATCCAGAGCTGCTACACCACGCAAGCCTGTTCAGTTTGACTAATTTGCGTGAGTATGAATACAGTAGAGTGGAGAACAATATCTCTTCACAAAACCACCAACCACCTTTGAATTCGCTTTCGCACGAGCACTACTAGCTTCTAACATGCGTATGCACTTATTTAYTTTGTTTGATTGGYTCTCTTATCAGAACAACTGTATCTAAAGAATACTGGATTTGAAGGAACTCTGCCTAGCCAGCTGCAGGGGCTATCGAAACTGAGTAAGTCMGTTGAATCTCGTTTCTAGAACGGAAACAATKATGTCGCCGATTTTGACTCGTACCTTTGTACGACACCATATCTCTTCCTTTCACTGTACATTTCAATCCAAAATTCACCGATTTTGTTATTTTCTGAATTGTTTGCGACCCAGCCGATTTGGATTTGTCCGACAACCGACTTACCGGAACACTGACCGACCAGTTCAAAACAATGTCTCGATTGCAGTATATCGTTCTCGACTTTAACGAACTCGAAGGCAATTTAGACGATATACTGAATTGCGGAAGCTGTGCYAGCACGCTCGAGACCTTTCGTTCCGACCGCAACCCGCTGACCGGAAGCCTTCCAGACCGACTGTTCGACTTTTCGGCGCTCGAATTTCTYTCGGTGTCTAGGTCGGGTGTTTCGGGGAGCATCCCCGCGCGCATCGGAGAACTGACGGCCCTCACCCATCTGGACATCTTCGAAAACCTGAACATGGATGGCTCTCTTCCAACCGAAATCGGTGCTCTTGTGAACCTCCAGGAGCTCGATGTGTCGGAATGGAGTCTCACCGGGACGGTGGCCGACCAATTTTCGAGGATGCCCCGGATGGAGACCCTGCGAATTGGCGAAACCCTTCTAGAGGGATCCATCCCGGCTGGAGTTTGCGAGTTTGTGAACCTCAGGAGGATAGAACATCCCGCCAGTGTCAACTGCACATGCCCGGGGATAATCTGCAGGGAGAAAGGATGACCCCGTGTGGTTGATCGTTCGAAACGATTTCATTCGATTTGTGGACGGGGTGCCCATCCCGCAAACGCCCAAAMCCTTRGAAGGGGCTTTGTTTCCTCGGGCGCGGGCGCKCAAGAAGTGTCGTTCCTCGTTTGSCAGCGTGGTTTCGGATGGGCAGCGCGGGGACAAACAAGCAAGCACCGCGCTCCGGGCCCCCGTGCGATTGCCAGCCCGTTTCTCGGGGTTTCGGGTTTTGGAATCACGCGTTCTTCGGTGCAACAATGGCATTGCGGTCCCGGTCCATCTATTTTTCCGACCAGCTAGGCGGTGTAATTGCTCTGCCGTGTGCCACTGTGCTTTGGTTCTTGAGCAGGGTTGGCGGTCGGAAGCAAGGAAACGAGCGGAGGCTTCGGGGTGGATGGTTTGGCCGGSGCCTATTGCAAGCCCACCGTGTGCTTCCCTGGCTTCGGTACAGCCASGCGGGGGTTTGGAGGAAAGAAACCTGCTGCCCTTGTTGTCGGCAGCGCCTGCTACTGYCCCTCGTTCCCTGGTGGTGGTGAACTGCTACGACTAGCGAGTAGTAGCTACTACCTACTGTACTGTTATTAGTTCAGTTTGTGCACTACYACTAGTATCACCACTAGCGAACCAATACCCGCCGTCTCCATGGCAATGACAGACCGTGGCTTGTGCCGTGACTTGCCGAAGAAGTTTTGTAGAGTAGTAACAAAGAACTAAACCATTGTATTACTAGTTTTTCTAGCTGATGGCACCGTAAAATTAGGCCTAGTTTCTATTGGGGTACATGAGTGCGGGTACTCGTACTCCGTCGGTCAACGTGCTTCTTAGGTGGTGCTACGTAGGTTGCTATTGCTCTTGTTTACTGTACGTACTTGTTTCCATAGATGGTCTTTGTGCGTACGTACGTACGTACGCACTACTAGTACATACGGCACTATCGAGCCGAAAACTGACAGAAACAGTTAATTGTACATATGGTACCAGTACGTACGACTACGAGTACGTACCGTAGCGTAGTGGGAAAGATAGTTGGTTCGTGGTTTTTCATTCGAGAARCTAGTCTAGTACTTCGTACGTACTACTTGTACTTCGGGTAATCGTACCAAAAGTCATTCTGTTTTTTCAAATTTCTCCTTGGGCTTCGCTTCATCCACGAGTTCAACAGTACRGTACCTACGGTACGGAACAGAACAACACCACGCCCGGTAGGTGCCGTACGAGCCGTACGTACCGCTATGTACTCATGCATTTTGGGAAAAAGACCTTCATGCTCACATTCCATTGCACCGAGTGCGTCGCCGAGAGCCCATCCAAAGAAGTRTACAACGGCAACAACGCCACTCGACACTCCATCACGCCATACAGCACAGCACCGCACCGCACCGCAAGAACTCCACAAAACCAGACCACAAGACTTTTAACGCTCTCCGAGAAAACCGCCATGTCGTCGTCTTCCGGCTCCGGTCCCTACGGCACCGGGTCTTCCGCGAGCACGAACCGCGGCCGACTGGCCCGTCCCCCGCCCCGCAAATCCACCGCTGCCGGTGGTGAGGCTGCTGGTGSAAGCACGGCAACGAGTGCGGCATCGACCACTGCGTCGGGTCCGAGGAAAACCACCGCAGCAACAGCCGCTACCGCGGCGGCAAGATCGAGGCGGGCCCGGGAGGCGTACGGTCGCACCAGCCGGGCCTCGGAYGGCAGTAGTACTGCTGCTAGCAGCAGCGTGGGCAGTACCGGTGTCTCCAGCAGCAGAGGCTCTGCGAGACGGAGCGGCGCTGCCGCTGTTGCAAAGGGAGCGACTGGCACGACGTCTTTGGCCRCCTCCGGTTCCTCGTCGTCGACAACCGGCACCGCAAAGGACCGCTCGGCCCGTCTGTCCGGTGCGGCCCGAAAAGCGCCGGTAGCGAGCCGCCCTGTGGGATCGTACTACAGCTCCTCGCCGGCACCAATGGCGGYGCCCACGGCAGAGGRAAACAATCCGAACGGCAGTGGCAGTGGCAACATCTACAGCAACAGCAACACCAGCGACGAGAACGAGAACGACGCCTGGGAAGACTGGGGATCTCCGGCACCCAAACCCGCGGCCGATAGCGCTGACCCAGCGAAAACCGCCGCCACCACAAACGACTGGTACTCGGCTCCCGTTACGACTTCCTCTCCCTACACGAGCACGGGATTCGCAGCCAGCGATCAATCGCAGCAGCAATCGCAAAACCACCAAATACCGATGCAACCGGGAAGTGGATTCTACCAACCCAGCAGCGCCGTGCAGCAGCAACAACAACAACCGCTGCTATCCGGTGCCATGGATGTGTCGGCACMKACGATGTCCRCTGGTGGTGCCACTACCAGCGCGACCACGTCGGCCGGTGCCACACCGTCCTTCTCCATGTTCATGCCATCGGCCTTTGCTCAGGCTCCGGGAGAGAACGCGGCCGCAAGCCACGGCAACGCCTATGCGCCATCGATAGAAGACGAAGCCCCCCTCTTGGAAGAACTCGGCATCAACGTCGATCACATCCTCCTCAAAATGAAAACGGTCGTCCTTCCTTTTTCCCGCTTCGGGGGCAACCAGATCGACCCGGCCGCCATCTGCAAGGAAGCGGACCTGCCGGGGGCCATCGCCCTGCTCTTCCTGCTGGGGGGKGAAATGGTCCTCACGGGCAAGCTCCGCTTCGGATACATCTACGTCTATGGCCTACTGGGCTGCATCGCGATGACGCTGGTGGCAAACCTCATCAGCCCAACCGAGGCCATTAGTTTCTGGACCGTGACGAGCATCATGGGATACTCCCTYCTGCCGGTAAACATCCTGGCGCTTGTCAAGATTTTCGTTATCAACCTCGTCCACCTCAACACGCTCGGAAACATCCTGGGCGCCCTCACGGTGGCCTGGAGCACCATGGCGAGCACGAGGCTCATGGAGCTRGGCTGCGGCCTGCGGGACCAGCGGTATCTCATCATGTACCCCCTCCTCCTCTTTTATTCGGCCTTTGTCCTTATGACGATATTCTAGGTGCGGGAATSAGATCGGCGGACGAACGAAAGTGCGACCGTCCTAGGGACCGAGCCAACGGCACCGCAGACCTGCTGCCACAGCAGCTGCGGTCACCACGGACGAGTGACCGTGACCGTGCCATCGCAGCAGCCGTGTCGCACGAAACGAAACGATTTTTCCGCGCTTGCGTAACTTATAACCTCAAAAGACCAACTACTTATTGCCACAACAACAACAACAACGACCATTGATTTCTCCTCTGTTTCGCAGAGCCCGTGCACAACCTATTAGCAGTAGCACTTAAGTACAAAATAAACGAACGAATCAATCAATATCACGGCGCATTCCTGTTTGACTCGCGAGGCTGATAGGTTAAAGTAGATGAGACCACAACACTACGTATTGAAGTAATTAGTACAGTACTGTACTACTAATTCAAAAATATTGTWTTGTTGTTATTTTGTGATACCGTACGGAGAAATAAGCAATAATATTACAGTATCTGCTTCTATTAATTGTCAATTGTCAACTTTTCGTTGGTTTTCTGGTTTTCATACATTATTCATTACTTTATTTTCTATTGGTTCTCGTGAAAAATTAAACTATTCCTCGAAATTTCGACTTCGAACGCGCATAGTTTCCGCGCGRAACCATTTTATTCMGTTGTTCTTCTCCGAAAAAATTATTGTGCCTCATCATGCAGTACGGAAGGATGTGTACGTTATAACAGATGTGCTAGGTTATGTAGTACTGATGATACTACTTCGTAGCACGGTCTTGTGAGCGAGACAGGCTCGCTCAAAAAACAGTCATATAGTCGAACACCATCGCCTAAGACGAAAAACATAATGCGGATATGGCTTGGCTTTTGTGGCGATAGCCGCACGATGGTCCAAAGTACGGACACCAAAATATCTCAAACAATAACCCGCTTCAAGTGTCGGGGCGGTGGGAGGACGGAGGTTCATTACGGCACGTTACATGTGCGTTGCAGTTCTACAAGATAAAATACCGCGAAACGTATGGCATCGCACCCCAATGTTCTACTCCGCACCATATCGTACCAAACCGTACGAAGTTCGAAGAAGGTACTTACTGTACCAAGTACGTTAACTGGTACATGTATGTAACCGCACCGCCACTTTAACGGCACGATACCCCMACTCCATCGAATGGTGGTGTATGTACGTTAACTGACTTCGAATCCTGGAACTACTCCTACGCGTACTACCGTAATGCTCGGAAGTTTTGGAGATTGYGTTGCAAGAAATTACATTGAAAAAGTCTTTTGTACCTGCCGCCTTCTGGAAAAGGGTGGGAGATATATATACAGAGTCTGAGAGAAACTTGCGAAACTACCTTACAGGGTTCGGCAACACTGCAACAGAAGCCAGGGGTTCAAACCGGCAATCGGTGGTGGTGGTTACATACGGTTTTCGGTATCTGTGACTTGCTTGGTGGATTCACTTATTTCAGAAAAGGCGACAACAAATAGTCCATCCCGTGCGGTTCCTTTGATCTGGAAACATTCTTGTTTGTTCGATCAATTGATATTTGAGTTGATTCGTTGTTTCGTTCAGTGATTTTGTCACGATGCCTTCCCTTTTCAAGCTTGCTGTCAAGAACAGACGGAAAAAGAATAGAAACAAAACACGGGGTGTTCGGGAAAATGAAGGCATGTCGGTAGCTGCCCTTTCTGGCATCGAATCAAACGAATTCCAGCAGCAGCACGAACCATGCCCGGTGGGTACCGCGCAGCACCAACTCGATGACGCGACAAAGAACGAGAACAACGATCTGCGGCAACAGGGACTGCTTAGAGTTTGGTCCTACCAAGGTGGCGATTGCGAGAGGACCAATTCGACGATTTCCCTAATCGAGCAATGCTCCCTGTCGGACACGGCGAGGGCCAAGGAACGGAGCGGCAGCGTGGATTCGACAAATTCAAACTTGAACACGAGCCATTCGAGGAGCAAACGCCAGCTTTTCAGACGTCGGCGAAAACCTTCTAAGACGAATGCTGTCAGCAGCACGCCAGACACGGTAGCTTCCGATGCTTCCTCCTCCCCATCGCGGTCCGTCGATCCGAGAASCCAACGAAGGAGACCAACGCCGCAGAAACTTGATTTTGATCTGGTGGACGGTGCCCCCRACGCTCGGAGGGCCAACCATCCACCGGAACTGGATTTGCAGCAAGACCAGGATGTTCCGGTTGTCGAGCAACCCAAAAACGGAAAGAATTCTACAAATAACGCCGCCATGAAAAACCACGGGACCAAGACGGTCATTATGAACGGAGACATTGTGGTGTGCAATTCCCTGAACGGCAAGACGTCGAGCGAGACGGTGACAATAGCTTCCGCCGTGTCCTCGATCAGTAAGGCGAAAGCAATTCGCCGGGAGACCGAGCGGAATGCACGAGCGGCAGCGGCCTTGGACGAAAAGGCCAACGAGCTGTTTGAGAGGGGATACTTCGACAGGGCTATGGCGTGCTATACCAAGGCCTTGAAACTGAAACGACGCACATTTGCTCACCTGATCGAGGATAGCGATGACATCGAAGAACAACTCATGTTTCGGAACAAAGAAGGCGACACAATATCAGATCCACAAGCCCTCGTCAGCATGGCAACTTCCATCAACAACATTGGTTATTTGCGGCAACGGTCGGGCGATGCAACGCCGGAAGAAACCATGGCGGCTTACAAGAAGAGTCTGAAAATAAAGCGGCGGATACTGGGGAACGATTCGCTTAGCGTTGGTAAAACACTAAACAACATCGGAAGTGTTCATTATCTCAAACGCGATTTCGACAAGGCACTCCCAGCTTACGAGGAAGCCCTCGAAATCATGAAGGCRAACCTTGGAGATAACCACCCAGACGTAGCTACCGTCATGAGCAACATTGGAGACGTCTATCTGGCACAAGACGACAGAGAAACCTCTCTCGATTTCTATCGAAAGGCGCTTGCGATACGGTGGGAGGCCTTTGGGGGGAAAAGTCCGAGGGTTGTGCGTCTTTTGGAAAAAATATCCAATTTGGAAATCGGGGATCGGATGTCTTCTAGAATGAACAAGTCGAATCAAASTACGCTTCTTGGCTTGGGGGACGACGTCAATAGCGAATTGATGGTTGGATCGGGGTTCCAACCGCTCGGTRAAGAGTTTAAAGACCTGCAGGAGCAGGTGCAAAACGATATTGATGAAATGGACCAAATGGAGCGTAATGCGAAGGTGGAGTTGTTCAAGGATCGAATCATCATCGTTCGTGGTATGCGCGATGTATGGAACGGGGGAAGCGATCTCTTGGACAATGATTCCGTCAGCGTTTTAACAGCCCTAAGTCGAGCAAGCAACATCACTGGAAGCAGTGGATGAGGAAGAACGATAAATATACAATTACATACGTACTTTGCTTTARAGTTACATTACAAGTGTATATGTTTTGGAAGAGGTGCAATCGCATCTCTGCCGACAGTAATTTCGTTTACCGAAACCTGGATGGAGGAAACTGTGTTAATGTTTGGTTCTATTGAAATCGAATCTAGCAAAGAAACCAAGGTTAGAAATTCTCTATCTACTACTCTGTGGTTACGAACAATTACGATGCCCTTCYAAAAAAATCTTGTCTTAGTCATTCATCCACAAGTGCCAGCGATAGAAGAATTCGGTGAAGACTCCGGTGTCGGATCGAACARAGAGCATCAAGTGCTATATTTTCTATTGATGTCGCCTTGCCGCGCTTCGTTTCTTCCAGCAATTCCTTCCATTCCTCCTTTTGAAGCAATGGATGTTTAGAATCGATCCGTGCTTCGTCTATTATTTTTGAAAGCAATAACAGGGAATCATTGTCGATTAAATCTTGAAGAGCCCTTTGTTCTGCTCTAACTAAGATATATTCATTAGCATTCCCGATCTTTGGTATTTCATTGGTTTGGTTTGGTTTTGACGGGACAAGAGTAGAGGAATATATATCTATAATTCCACCAGGCCAGGCATAGATCAATACAGGCAAGATATCTCTGTCCACCACGAGATTCCCTGCCGTGAACGCCTGGATGTAAACCGCTGACGAGTCCGATTCAATATCGTGTGCGAACGGTACTGTCGCAATCGAGTTGGTTGAATCGCTCGCTTCTGGGGTAGGAATCAAGTAGCACGTTCCTCCTCGAAGGCATGCCACCAAATACTTTGAGGCTTTTCCGTTTGCCTCCACCACGTCGATTTGGCCACTACCTATGGCTGGATAAGAAAGTAGAACCTGTTTTTCGCATGTTACAACGGTATCGAAATCATTCCGACTGCTGGATAGCATAGCGACGATGCCATTGGGCAACGTAATGCCTACGCACGATCTACGATTCACTTGGCTCCCCGTTCCGATGGAACCCAAAATGCATGCTGCGTCCGATCCATTGCTCTCCAAAATTGGAGCGCGACTCGGCGATCGCCAATCATTCGATAATGGCAGTTTGCTCGTGCCATCAATTGATTCCATGCTATGAGCGTCTGCCATTACATATTTTTGCAATGACATTTCTTTAGTAACCTTAGGTAAATCTGAAGGTTTTAGTATGTCGTTCATGATTCGCTTCAGATCCAACACCTTTAGCATAGAAGATGTGGGCTGATKTTGTTTCCCTTTGTCTGCTGTTCTGATGCTGATTGCAACTACAGCAATCAGATTGTATTCTTTTGCCGTGCCAAAACCTTCTTTGCCATCGTTTTGGATGGCTTTTGTATCATCGACTGTGTTGTCTAAGCCTCCAACAAGCGTCTCCTTCTGTGGATCGCTACCACGAAACAAAAACGATAAAGTTCGAATGGAATCATTCATATACCCTTCCCAATGTAAATAACAATGAACCTCCTTTTTTGTTTCTAACTTCCTTTGCGTTGCCCAGTGTCCACTTTGTTTAGGGGGAGGGGGAGAGGAAAGTATCTGATGTATATTCCAAGCTTCGATGTATCCTGTTTTGTATCCCACGCATATGGTATCTATACCGGTACCTCCTCCGCCGTGGAGTGTGGTCATGCAAGTTGCGCTAAGATTTTGGGTAACCCAGTTGTGAATGAGCGTAAACTCAGGTTTTCGGTTTGACGCAACGGTGGACTGAGAATTATCCCCGCTGCATTGCGACAAGTTTSTTTTTAGTTGTGAATCCGAGTTTGTTGTGTCGATACTATCCGTCCCATCAATAGACGCATCTACCAATATTTTTAGTTGATAGATGCAACTTTCCATGGACAGTGCATAAAGGATGCTTGTCTCCTCGTGAAACGACAGCTGCAGGATTTTGTCGTTCCAGTCCGGCGATGATTTTTCTTTGTCGGAGCAAAGTGAAAAYTGRGTCACAGGGGGGGAGGCGGCTGTATCAATTCTTTTTTGCGCCAGTTCGTCGAATGGGTCCTCGTTGTTTTCGAAATTTCCGAACAACAAAAGGGTCATACCGGAGGCAACCAAAACGTATTTTTGGTGCAAGATTATCGGGGCGCAAAACAAGTTTCTGGCTACAATTTTATTGGGCTGGTGCTGATCTTGCGACTGGCTGGATGTTGYCGTTTTGTTCGAATCCAGCGTAAACAACCGTTGTGGCGTTTGCCAGTGGCACCTCGTGTCAYAATTGGGAGATGTGGCTTCAGGTGGGTGATCCCAACCACTCATGTACAATGGGTCCGTGCGTTTCGCCAGGCTCATACTTTGTCACAATATTCAGTTATTTTTATTCACGTAGAAGTATAAGGGTGGAAGTAGTCTTGTCATCTTTCGCGAAGACCGAGGCACACTATTTGTTTGTACTGTTATTTGTTATTTCAATGTTCCTAGATCATTTCTGCTCATCACACAAAGATGTGATGATGTTGTCGAGAGATCTTTCACGGGAAAAATATCTGTAGTATGGTACGTACGAACCAGTACAAACCGTCTGTAAATCGATCGATGCACTTAGCATTTCGTACTAGTCGGATTTTTTTGCGATTTGAATCCAATCGGTCGAAGAGGAAGAGCGCTTCCGAGATCGACAGAGAAACGAAAATCTAAAATCTCGAACAAACAGTGATTTTTCGTACGAATCGTACGCATCGTCTCACAGGTGTTTGAAACGGCCGTTTTGGCCATTTTAGGTTCAATTTGGCGCTGATTTAGAGTTCAGGTTAATACGCGTTCGAACTAGTCAAATAATTATTTGAAGCAATCTGATTGGCTAATTAGACAGATCAAAATTATCTCAAACTGTACAGTCTACCCCCTTGATATCCAATTTTCTCGTAGAATTCTACATCAGTTTTGTACCAGGAATCAATATTTGCTTCATTTTGTTGCTTTCTTTTCTTACGAGTGTACGTAGTGAATACTGGTCACCAGCATTACGTTCCTTTCTCCATTTCGACTACCGTCGATTGTCAGTACTGTAAGCGTCATCAAGATCGTAACCAGCATCATCAACTGAGGTCAGGCACATACGTACAGAAGGTTGTTGTTGTTGTCAAAATCAGGCTACTGCTACTGCTGGTGGTGGTGTTCTACGGAGGGATGTACTGGGAAGAGTTGGATGCCTTTGATCCAAGGAATTCACTGTTGAGAAAGGTTTGCGACCAACTATCTGANAACAACAACAAGTTAGGTCTTGATATTTCCTTGTCTTTTTTGCTTCACTGAGGGCAATAGAGTCACGTGTAGAATAAGCGTTGAATCCTAGAGGCATGTAAGGAAGAACTTCCCTTCAAATCTGGATGTTTATATTTCCCATACCAATTGCTTYGCTTTTATGATGCTTACAAAATATTTTGCTTTCACGACCAATCAAAAAATGTACCTCGTTGCACGCCACTAATGCGCAGCATTCKTTGAACAAAGCTCCATCACAATGCACCCATAAACCCTTTGATAATGGCCACGGGAATGTTTCGATATTTTGGAACAGCAACGGTAACGGCCAGAAGYSAGTAGTACAGAACCTTCAATGGAACCAAGCCGGTACGAGTGGGTGTGATGCCGAATCCCATGGCGGATCGATACTCATAAGACACAGAATCGTATCCGATGCTGTTTTTCCTTCGCATGGCATAATCTTTGGTGTATCGGGGTCCACAAAGAATCCCGATGATTACTCCGCCAAAGAACCCGCCGACATTGGTGGCCATACTAACATTGTCCATTAAAAATGCCAACACCGCCATGGCCGCCACACCCTGAGCCAGCTGGCCCGCAGTGCCGCCAYCGGTGCGACTGGGGTTGGCTCGGGCCATCCGCGTGAGACAGACAAACATCAAACCAAACAAACCGCAGATTCCACCGTTCGCCCCCAGGTATATGTTGGGGTCAAATATGCGGTCGCTGCTGTTCATTAGGTGCCCTAGGTTCCCCGCAATTATGCTTCCAAAAAAACATGTCAGGTACAACGGTGCCCCCAAACCGCTTGCAAGCCAGGACGGCTGCCGAGCCAAAACGAAAATGTCGATGAAGAGATGCGGGAGGCTGTTGTGAAATAGCCCGGATGTGATATACCGATAGGATTGCCGAGCTTTCGAAAAGACAGCAGAAAAACCAAAGGTAGTCGTCAGAGGTCCAGTAATGGACGCCGAATCCCATATCGAATCGACGATWATTTCCATTGCGTGGTCGGGCCAGTAGGATGGAAATTTTCGTTTGCAGTATACAACCGTGGTTATTACTTGATAACAGTAGATAAGAATCTGCAACGCTATCAACGAAATTTTTGTCTTGCTTTTGATCGCGGTATCCAATAACATTTGGCGCCTAGAAAATCTCCGCCGGATGCGGCTTGTCCAGCGCATGTCGTCGCCGTCCCATTGATCCATTTGGAGGGACGTATATTCTSTTCGATCCGGGAAGCTTGACTTTCGTAGGCAACGAYTTGATGGGGTCTTTTGCCGGTGGAGGTTCTGAACCGACGGGACAATGTATCTCGATCGTGCCCATCCCTCCCTGTGTGAAGTGTGTACAACGGCAACAGCCATCCCGGAAACACTCGATTGCTGAAAKGCATCGACAACCCTTGTCTCCACTATGCAAAGGAGGACCAAGAAATTCCTAATTTTCTGTCTTGTATTCATGACTCTGCTACTTGAGACTCCAGTTATGTGATGCTCCTCCAGAACGGTACCCTACACTAGACTTTTTGGTCGTCGAGAAAGAATGTAAGAATGTTATCATCAGTTCTCGACGTCGTTGATTCGTCTAGAGGGTTTTTGTGTTCAGTTGATGAGATGATGTCACGGTGCGTTTTTAAATTTTTCGATGGTTTTTGAGATCTTGCGTCTCAAACACCGTACAGTATGCTAGTACTTTCCATACCTATGCATTGTAATTAGATACGTACAGTACAGTGTACAGTGTGGGGTGAAAAAGTAATTTTGTCCTGGTCTGCTCATCGTACAGTATGGTACTGTACTACGTCGTACCGTAGATAGGGATCGAACTTTCTGGACTAATTCGTAGTAGTAAGTGCACAGTACCTCGTACGTAGGCACGAGCTATTTTTTTCTTTTTCCAGAATGCTCGTTCGAACCGCAGTTGTAACGCGCAGTACGATCGTACCGTACKGTTAAAACATCAGAAATGTACATCATAATAATAAAAATACTACTGTAATATTTTGACGCAGGTTAAGAGCATTGTAGAAAATAACAATCAAAACCATTTCAATGCTACAACAATTCTAGAGTCGTAAGCAGCCTGGCCGATATTGATTGTAGGTATGAATAGTGGATGCATAGATGAAAGACAGAAAGAAAAAGAATATTTATCACTTCTTTGCAGAAGGGCCAACAAACTAATGTAGTGTACTATTCATCAATCGAAACGCTCTCGTTGTCTATCTYCTCAATTGGTCACAACAATTCTCGATGGTTCTTGTCCATGGCGTAGTATTTGCAATAATTTTTCTCGATGCCATCGGRGAATATATAATCTTGWTCCTCACTTTCAGAAGTATCTAGGTTTGTCGCTTTCGTCATTTCTATATCAGCTGCTGCTGTGCATTGTTGAGTTTGATCAAGAGAGATGAAAAAAAATACTTATAATACGTAATTTGTTCATCCATCCATCCATCCATCCATCCATCCATCCATCCATCGTTCCTTCCTTCATTCATACCAATTGCTTCTGCGCACACCCTAGTTTTTCTTCTCCCTGGTTGACTTAAGTGTGGGGATTGGCTTTCTCGCAGCTCCCCGAAGTTCCATCTGTTCCTTGAACTTCTTGACGTTGCAGATTCCCGGAAAGAARTGCGGTTGACCATTTCCATAGCTATCAAAGGCCGCGAACCAACGGTTCCACTTGTACTCGGGGGTTTCGGTTTCCTTGAAATAGCAAATCACGGGGAAGTCTTCCGATGGGAAGAACCCATAGTTGATAATGGTATCATACTTCCAGCGATTGGGGGTTCCCGACACATAATTGTCGGGCTTTCGCACCAGTTCTGCCTTGCCGTTTTCGTAGTCGAGACGGGGGCCCCTGACGTTGTAGAATTCAAAGGCGTCCTTTTCAAAAACACAACGAACGCGGGAMGTCTGGACCCACAGAAGAGTGGCAAATAGAATGTGAAATCCACCCCCAAARATCCCAATAAGCGATGGACTGCCATCGGGCATGTAGGCTTTTACGAAAATCGAAAGAGCAGATCGAAATAGCAAATAKCACTTGTCAGTCGCGTGCGATGCCATACGCTATAAGTATGTTGGGTATCATCAACAGCATTGAAACATGCAGTAAAWTATAGAATGCATTGGCTCGGTCACGGAATCAAGGCATACATAACAGTTTGCAACTGTATTCTGAAGGGGATCTATCGTAATACGAGACCAATTAACGCAGGGCGRAACGCAAAGCAACACGATTTAACAGAACGTACAAGGGTGGTACCACATGATGAGCGGCCCGAGAAGACCCACCGCCCAGGTAAGGAAGAAGCTCGGAGGCACAACGACATCCTTCATCATCATTCGGTTTAGCCTTGAAAACTTGGGGTCTACCACGGGAGTAGTCGTTTCGTGCACGTGCAACGGTTTGTCGGACCAGCTGTCCCCAGGCGGTGGCATCGAAACCGCATCGAGAGCGGTGGTTGCCGTGTGGCTGATGGTATGCATGGGAGCAAATGCCAGGCCCGTGCCGGCGCACASGGAAAGCAATAGGATACGAAGCTTCATTTTGGTTTCTGTCTTGATGTTTGAGGAGACTGGTGATGTGTAAGATCCAATWCAACAGTGGATAGAGAAGAATGATGCGAAGTGTTTATTCGTAACGAATACTAGTATTGATACTTTGCAACAAATGKGGGGAAAGGGTTGAATATGAAGGAACGAGACGAATAGTTGTACGACTKCGAGTGCATTGCGTACCGGTCCCAGCAGTCAGTTCACAGAACTCGTTCTTGTCTTCTCTATCAAATACTGTAACCGTTCTTATTGTGTAACGATTGAACAAAGATCGCTCCGTGTTCTTTCGGAGAAGAACGTAATTTGTGATTCCATCAAAAGTGGATCAATTTTAGTCGCGTTAAGGAAACAGAGTGAGCAGCCGACAGAAACAATCCTGTCTCCCCTTTAAATATTTTTATTTCCAAGACGTCATTCTTCTTTTTACATTCATACTTTGATTGTCGACATGTTCTTTGGCTTCTGTGATGATTTGATGGCCGTTAATAGCATGTCTCATCACGGTCACGTACGTAACGTACATACCCAATACCCAGTCAGTATTGTACGATTGAGGGAGTTCGTTTCGTACAAGACGTATGAGTTGTACGTAGTACGAGTATGGTACTTGTACTTCTATACGTAGGATTTTCCTGCAATTATCGACAACTTCGAACCAATCTTCGACTAGATTTTTGGGTTCGAAATTCTTTTTCGGTCCCTCAACAGGACTTCAAAAGCTTTCTTGTAAACTCAAACTCGAAGCACAATCATGTCTATCGACAAAACCAGCAAACAAACCATTAGCACAAGACTACAGTGTGCTCTACCGGCGTACACCTCACCCAAAGCGTCTAGTACGGATAATGCGTACAGAATTATTTGGCGCATCGGTGGAGCATGTGCTTTTCGCGGGACGACTTCGATCAAAACGCGAAGGCCGTKGTCGCTGCTTTGAGATCTGCGGACAGGGAAGCCTGCGAGCGCTCGTCCCGTGCCAACAACGACAATGCCAGATCGTTTGCTCTTTGTCACTGGGAGTTGYGTAGCGAGAACGATGGGTGTCACTCGCGGCTGTATCTTACGCATCCGACAATCACGTTGTCCAACAGAGCCTCGACGTTGGCAAACCAAAAAGACACGATCTTTCTCGCATCAGGTGGCGACGATTTTGTGGACGAAGGCATCATTGTCGATGACGAATGCTRCTTGGAGGAAACCGCCACAAATAACAAGCAGCAGGCGTTGCAAGTCGCTACGCAGTGGAAATTTAGTATCATATACAGTTCTACATACCAAGCTCCCGTGCTTTACTTCAGCGTCCAGGATGTCAACGGAAACCCGGTGGGGAGGCGGCTTCTTTTAGAAGTCCTCGAAGCAGCACATCAGCGGTCGATATATACAGCGAGCAACGACTTTCCCTCAGACAYGTGGGACTTCTTGTCTCAGGAAGAGCATCCTTTGACCGGACTGTCTTCCTTTTTCCTTCACCCTTGCCAATCGGCGCAACGGTTGCAATGCCTAACAGAYGTCACTAATAAAAGTCCTACAGTTACAAATTCGGTAGCARCAGCGGTGGCCACCAATGGTTTTACCAGAATGAGTGTTCTCTGGTCCTGGATGTCTATGATTCTGCCTGCCGTAGGCCATTCTGTTCCTCCGGTTTACTTTCAACAAATACAAAACCGCATCGCTCATCAGAGTACTAGTACAATGCCATAAAACTTCAGCCTCATGGAGACATCGAGAGCAGCTTCGAGGTTTCGTCAACAGGTTCAATTTCGCTTCCCTTCTTAGCATCGTCTTCTTTACCATCCTTTGCGGTTGTTGCCAATGCTTGTTTGGTGGCATGTCCGTATCCAATAACACCACCGGTAACGGTGACACAAGAAATAAATTTTCCATTCGAAAAGCACATCTCGGGTCCTCCGATTCTGTTGCAATACAGAAGATTTGTAAGGACAAAGACCAGTACAGCCTGTAYGCCTTTCATTACGCCGGCACTGGTTGCACCGCCAGGGAAATGAAGAAGGGTGTAGAAATATGTATAGGAATGCACGACGTTCGACATTCCGAAGCCGGCGAGAAGGATCAAAGCGTACCAAATAGTCGTCCCAGCGTTATGCATGGGAATTCGAATAAGTTCGGCAGAGTGCGGCAGTGTGTAGACCACCTGCCATCCCAAAAACACCCCCCCGGCAACAGATCCCTGGACAAAATTGTTCTGTGCAGCGGTCAGCCTCTCTTCGCCAACGGTCATGACGGCTTCGCATATTACGTAGGTCAATCCGTGCATTGCGGATCCTAGTATAGTCAATAGGCTTCCCTTTAGTACGTCTTCCCCCATATTGACCGAATCAGTCGCGGTCATGGTCAACCCAACGAATACTACAAGTACGTAAACCCATTGCCGAAGATTCATTTTCCGCCCCAAAAAMAGTTGCGAAAAAATTGCAGTCCATATCGTGACAGAAGAATATATTATGGCAAATAGTGTTGGACCTGACATTGTCGCTCCCGTGTAATTCAAAGACTGAGAKGCTATGTCCCAGAGAGCAGCTCTGGCACGGGGACAGAAATAGTTAGTTTAACGACCGTCGTGTTTCCCAGTATTCAATCAAATCGCAAGAACATTCACCAGGCGAATGAGCTGATTCCGCGCAAAAATACAATGTACACGTGCGTGGAGAACAAGTGAGAAGGCAATACGAGAYCGACTTGCTAGCAGTAGCTTACCCGGAAGCTTTWAAGATAGTATTTCGATGAGGCCATTGCTGTTGTTTGTCGTTAAAAACAATGGGTAGAAGGTACATTGCAGGCATTACGTAATAGAAAACCATAAAAAACTGGCACTTGGGATTCGYGAGCCCCTAGGAAACGATGCAATTCGAGTACCAAAAAAAGCAAATAYGTGAGAACGAGGAACAAAACAAATATTCCAAAGAGATAAATATCGCGCAATAGAACCAATAGAATTCTCCAAACTCCTTCGAGCGAATCCTTGTGTTGGCATACGAACGAATGCAGAATCTTACCGCCTCTGTCAGTAATGTGACGAGCAAGGGCTGCATGCATCCAGATAAAACAAACAATCCCGCATTTGAAAAAGTTCGAATAGGGATTAGGGATGAATATTGTTGTCGAGAGACCATCTTGTGTWGTTCCCTACCAATGTTTGGCCTGGTCTTAGCTGTGCTGTGGCTCGTTTGCACACTGCATCGGCAAAATAAAACAAAAGAAAAGMAAATAGCAAAAAGATGAATCAGCCATTGCAGTAGCTTGTGAGGTGAGAGCAAAATAACCTCACATCACCACTGCCGTCGTAGCACACATCACTGTCGCAGCATCAAAATGTTTCTTCGGGTATMGGAAGAGAGAGGGCATGAAACTCAATACAATTGAGATGGATTTCTTACGGAAGCTGGTGATAGTCGTTTGCCTGATGGTGCTTTCTATGGTGCATACCTCGAGTTGAACCTGCTCTGTTGTTGTTTAGCGTCTTCGACGGTTTACGTTCACTTCAAAATATCATTCCGGCAGATCTGAGAGATGCATGTGTTGTCAGGTCGAGACGGTGTGCGTTCTGGGTATGCGTGGTACCAGTACGTAAAGTACTCTACGATAGAACGAACTATTACAGTACTGAATTTTTTCAAGTGCGTTCGTGGAAGTAAGAGTAATCGTGCGTACTTTTTTGTCATGCCTTGTATCGCGTAGACTTCAGTAAATTTTCTACGTCCAATAAACTTCGAAAATTATGCGCAAGCACGTTCGACTGTCTACCCCGAAAAATTCGAAAAGAAGAAGGTTTATCTCGTCTATCTTGGATTCCCGCATATCCTCCAAATTGAGTCTCTTCGATTGAAACTGAATCAAAAATAATTTGTATGTACGTACCGGTAGTACGTACGTACTCGTAGTTTCTCTTCCCCTACTCCTACTACCGTAACTAAATTTTTACTAGTAGTCTTGATTTGCATTGATACATTACGTACGTACTGTAATTAAGCCAGGGTTCATCAATCTACCCCTGAATTAAGCCGCGTAAAAACAACTAAGTAAAGTACGTTCGCTTCATATCATAGTCCCACTGAAACACTACTTGTACCGGTACAACTACGAGTACCAGTACGATTGGAAAGCTCTTGACACCAAGATCGACAGATGATCGAAGAACATATCAAAAAGATCACTCCAAGGAAGGTTGACGCACATGTTAGTGCGAGCGATAGACAAGTAAAGTATTGCTACTTTAAAAACAGGAAGTAGTTACACTTGTATTATTACTATTACTTGYTGTTTGATCRCTTGTATGCGAAGTGAAATGGTCATCAGATCTAGTAGTGTAGAGGAGTTTCAGGTGGAAGGTATTTTTAATGCGGGCGAGAATAAGGAAATATATTGGGTCCAATGCCACTGCGGAACAGTCCGAGGAAAATTCAGAGCAAGCAAGGACCATGTTGTCGCTTGGGATTGCAATTGTTCGGATTGCTCCATGAGGGGAAACGTTCACGTTATCATTCCGGAAGACGACTTTTTGTTAGATATGCCAGGAAATAAATCGCTCCAATCCGCGACGATAGAGTATTTGTGGGGAACCAAAAYAGCGAAGAGACGTTTTTGTAGAACGTGTGGAATTTTGCCGTGGTACAGACCTCGATCAAATCCGGATGGATATGCGATCACCCTGAAGTGTATCGACTGGGGCGATGACGACGACAAGAAGCCGGAGATCGAAATAAAAAGTTTTGATGGTCAAAATTGGGAAGAGCAGTTTGCAAAGTCGGATATTTCTAAGCACTCAAAATGTGCAAGCACTCAGTAAAGGCGAGTTTTGGGGAATCAAATTTTCGGTGGAAATTCTGGTCTTCTTAGCTATTGTTGGGGATGGATCGTGTATTCTTTGTTCCAATAGTAGCACAAATAGCAAGCAAAGAAACAATGAAGAAAAACTTTGTCATCCGCCTACAAATGATAAAAGACTGTGCGTCCGGAAATKATTTTTTTAATATCATGATGTTACTGTGTTCAGCTGCCACTATAGATTATTCTGGCCTTCAWCATGCTGTTGTTCTTCAAAATTAAAATAATTCGAAGAAGAGGCGACAAAATGGCATTCCAAAATATGATTCTCCAGCTCTAGAATTTGTCCTAAATAGTTAAGAAACTTCTAGCCGATACGCGGAAGGCGGTCAACTTCTGCGTAAATCTGTCTCTGTTGGCGCTGTCCAAACTTCGATTGACATCAGCAAGTAGCTTGTTCAATATTTCGGTCAACTTGGATTGGTTTTCGGCTGATTGTGTGCTCAACAAGTGATTCTTGTACTCCTGGAAACTTGATTCGCTAGCTAACATGAGACTTAGCATCGGACGCATGACAGCCCAGTGATTCGAAGGAGGACCGAACAAAAGAAGATTGAATAACGTCATCGTAAAGCCAGAGAGAAGGTTGGGCTGAGCCGCAAAGTGCTAAATGGGGGGAATGGAAACAATATTTGAGTAACATAAATGAACCGTTTCGCAAAGAAACTTCCACTTTTCGTGGTTGACCATCTGATTCACGTACCTTGTTTAAGTTGTGCATTTCCACCTTATCCTTGCCTTGATTATTAAAGTAGTATGTTGTCAAATGATCAATTGTGTTCGCACAAAATGAAGCAATGGTTTGGTCACTGGACTGGAGACCTTCGTGAACAGTAGTCATAATTTGCAAGAATATATTTGAGTCCAATGCAAACACCCTYTTTTTGTGGCTGCGGAAGAGAATTTCGATAAAGCTGTAGTATGCTTTGCTCAGCTTTGGATAAGCATTAATGTCATCCAACGGAACTGATAGCGCCATGTTGAGGGCAACATCAAGAGCATTTTGTAGGGCCATATCATTGTAGAGTTCGAAGACGCCAAAACAAACGTAATTTCCTCCCAATGCTGAATTAAGAACATGGAGAGACAAGGCAAGTCCCTTGTAGCGTTTCTTGTAAATTTCGGGGTCACCCTTCGATGGTGGTGGAGTGGCCATGAGCCGGCGTCCATAGGCACACACAACATCACTGGTGTACCGGAACAAGAGGATGCCATTTGGGCTACTCTGGTCGAAATTCACTCGATTCGCTTTGTTGTGACAGAATTCGTGCAAGAAGCGGAGTAAACTGATCATGACATCAGTTTGATCGAACCATACGTCCGCAACCTTGGAGCAAAGGGGAAGGTGCTGGGGATGCAAGATCTCAAAGAGAGCACTGTAAGTTTTGCGGTTGTGCAAGCTGGCAGCGATTCCGCGCAAATCCCGGAAGACTCCAATCAAAGGTGCTCTGCAGTTTTCGTTTCTCAAATCAGCGGGTGCGAGGGTTCCCAACCTGCCCAGAACGTTTATGATAGGTTCCAAGAATTGATCAAATGTGAGCCCGAGTTTCTCTTCTCCATTCGGCGACAACAACAGGCGAGTCAGTGTAGCATGAAAYGTAGTTCGCTGCCTAACATTTCCTGGTTGGGACAAAAATGGGAAGTGATCGCTGGTGTGGTTCTTCGCTAAAAATCGAACCGTTTCGAGGGTCAACAGCAGTTTTGAACTACTGTAACCTCCGGCCATATCGTGAAAGAGATCCAGCGTTTTGCTCACAATTTCTTGATCCTCTGGCCAGTATTTGAGATTGTTTCCCATTTTCGTCACGATGATGTTTGCTACAACCGTGTGGTCACCCATGGCCAATTGCTCAAACATTCGTAGGTAGACTTTCTGCTTTGTGGAGGGCGCTGAATCGAGCTTCGCAACAATCATACCAACCGACAATGAATCCCCGCCTAGAGTATTAACGGAAGAATTGTTGTTTCCGGACATTTGGTCCCACATGAACATGTAAACTCGTCGGAAGTTTCCAAAGTAAAACAAAAGGGCTTGTTCCAACTTCGGTTCTGCCCTGCCTGCACCGTTCGATGTGGTTAGACGGTAGTCCATGCCCTGAGCCAACTGCAATGTGCGTCGGCTTAAGCTGGCATCGATTGCCTCTTCGCCCTCGCCCATGTGCGCAGACGACCAAGAATGACCACCAATGATGGCTCCGACTATATAAGTTAGCCATGTAAGTTGCCCCTCGATAACCGCCATGGATTGCTGTACGTCATTAGGAGCCGACGATGTAGRATTGTTTCCCATACGACCTGTTATGTCACGGTATTGTGCAAGAAGGGGATCAAACTTGGCCAGGAGGATTTGTGCAACAGGACCATATTGGAAGCGGCAAATTACAGGAAGTCGATCCATTTGCTCCCGAAGTGAACCATAGTCATCCAGCGGATTCTCCAGCGCTCCGTCGCTTCTCAGAACAGTTTCGACCGATCCAAGCATACTTTCGATGTAGGTTTCGACCACAAGCATAACCTGCTTTTCTAAGTGTTGGACATGCCCCTGTGCTCCCGTCTCAGGTCGGACATAAGGCACGGCAGCTACCAGCCTACCCCAAAGTGAGAGAAGGTAGTGTATCGAGTTTGTGGAGTATTGCCAATTTCGGATGGACTGCACGGTGAATGATGCAGCAAGTTCTAGCCATTCCATGTATCCATCGGTCTTCACCAGTTCTGATAGCTGATAGTTTGCCTTCAACCGGCCGAGGAGACGGCAAAATTGATGGTAATTATCCTGGTGCTGCAATCCAGTTTTGTTTGATAACATTCCCCGTATCCCTGTAATAAGACGGCCTAAGAAAGCTGCCCTGTCTTTGTCGGTTGGGAAGAGGGAGCGCCGCACCGATGCCAGCAATATGATGGCCTCCATTGCCTTGCTAGATCGTGGCGGAGTCGTGTTGGCATAAAAATCGAAAAATAAATCCGTGGTAGCCGAGTCCTGTAATAAAGCCCGCCACGACGTCGGTGCTTGGATYGTCCCCACATCTTCCGTCGACTCATCCGGATTCGTACCGATAAAGTCAAAAGAAAGACACCGGACAGTGAGAGCAAGAGCGTATTCTCCGAGGATCTTTTCCTGTTGTGGATCCGCGCCTGGTRAAAAGTGCGGCATGGAAGAAGGAGGAATAAAAKAAGGAGAAATATGGACAAAGCGGCGAAACTATAAGAATTGCGCAGTTGTGAAAGAACATGCAAAAGTTGAACAAACCAATTCCTGGCATTTYTTCGATCATCATTGCCTGTCGCCCCTCGCCGAGCCTTTCGTTATGTTCAGAACTCCATGAGATTGCGTTCCCCGTAGCAATTGTTTTGTCTACTTACTWATTGCCCTAGTCTGCAGTTGCTTAAGTGTTGTCAGCCCTAGTTGAAAGACCTTCAGGAGACAAACATCCCGAAAGCTCACAGAAGTCTTCCTGTGTTGCGTCAGAGTTCGTCCCGAAGTGGGGATGTTTAGCTCGTCCACGAGTTGGTTGAGAATCTTCAGGCCGAGAATACAATGCTCAATGGTCGCTTGCAAGAACTTTGTTACGTCGTCGGCCAATTCCCGATGTACGGGATCGTCGAACCATCCGAGTTTGGTAATACGACAGACTAATTTGATCAAACTAACCACAACAAAGTTTTCCAACTGGGGACCATTGTTTGCCAGATACGTAAGTACGTAGTTGCGAATGTCAATGCGTTGGGGGATGGTGAAGGAATTCCAGTGCGTCGTGATAAGTTCGGTCAACGAATTGGTGGCCACGAGTCGTGCGTATTGCGATTTCGTATTTTCGAGAATGTATTGGCATTGGGGAATGAAATCGGCAGACGACTGCAGGCTCATGAGACGCTGTTGTGCATCTTGTCGGGTGATTTGTTCCCCGTTCTCGCCAGAGGTGGGCACACCCGTGTAGAGAGTCTCGCAGAGAGCTTCCACTTGAGCGAGCTGTGCGGGTTCCATTGTTTTGYGTCGGTCTTGCTGCGCCTAGSGGCTGAGAGATTACGATGATAGGTACCAGATGCCAAAGGCAAGAACACGATATGATGCCTGCCGAATAACTTCACAGCAGGATGTCTAGCAGGCTTTGTATAGCTGGGTTGATCMACAAAACTGCAAGGAATAATCAACCAGTWTATTCCAATTGATTGGTGGATAAGAATGGTGCAATGTAATCGACTCTCTTGGCTGCACTACGTGCCTGTCTCGCTTCCTCTTCAATGATRCCAACTTTCTTCAAGCAGCGAGAGAAAAAGACAAGGTTAATATTTTTATTACGTGAATTTGATCATTCAAAGTGATATGGAGTGACTATGTGCCCATGCAGTGCAATGCAATGCATGTCATTACACCTCAATTTGTGCCTTGGCTCGATGAGGA